GATGGGGCGGCTGGTAGTAGAGCCGGAGGGTGCGATACTCGAGGCGTCTCGCCAAGCAAAGGCCCCTTTCAACGGCGTTTATACATTCTATCATTTGCATTTATATGTTATTATAGCACCAGTATACTTTCTCTCGGGAGGCTTTTCTTCTCTCGTTTGAGTGTGTATGTGTGCGTGTGTGAGTGAGTGTTGCCGGGGAGAAAATTCGCGGCTCTCAGCCGTCGCACAGTGGGTCGAGTCGATCGGAGGGGTCGGCCATGAGATTTTTGACTAAAACTGCAAATTTCGATGTTTATTTCGTCATATTTTAAATTTCAAGGGGTGCTAAAAGGAGACAATTTCACGAAAAAACCACTGGAACCACTTTCAGAGTCTGACAATTTCGTATAAATGGAGTTTTGAGCTTTTAAAGTTTCCAAATTTTGTAGAGCCTCTCCTTGACTCGATCCACTGTGCGTCGGGGCTCGACGTCGACACTCGAAAAAACCATGATAACACCGCGTCATTGTTGTTCGGCCCTTGGAGGGTTCGCGAGGTTTAACTTGCGATACATGCAAATGTGACTTTATTCAATAATTTTGACTCTATCTGCGTCGTCCCCGGCCGTTTTGGGTCTGTTCCCCGCGTTAGTGGCGATGGACCCCTCGACCCGTCGAGAAATAAATGATCGTCTTATCTTCCTTCGGAACATCCACCTAAATGTCGCACGAAAAACTTTGAGCTCGTTGAGTTTCCTTCTGACGAAGGGATTCAATACGCCCCGCGGATGGGTGAAAGACTGAGAGGGTTTACCGAATTCGTGCATGTCTTCAATGAGGACCGACTTTATCTCCAGATGACACTTTTTTCGGCCTTGAGTCGTCAACAAAAATCTAGAGAAGAATTCTTTGCATACCTATTCCTAAAAATCCCTAGATTGTAGGCTCATTTTTTTTAATTTTAACAATTTTTTTTTAAAGAGTTTTATTTATTGTAACTTCCAATTAGAGGAAACATACAATTATCAAAAGTTAGAAATAATGTATGGTAAAGCAACGACTGGTTAATTCCTTATTATCATAAAATTAAAGAAACTAAACCTAAGTCTTAATTAAGAGTAAAAGGACTCTCATAAAAATCAAATTTTAACAATAAGATAAATAATTGAGGACAAAATTACCAATTTCCCCGGAATGCTTTAGGTCACCAACTTTTTGATAGTTTTGCTATAGTATGTTCTCCGGGGTTTTTAAAAATGTATATGCCCTCGATTCAAGGGTCATTGATGGAGCATTAAGGTGGGATGGACGGAAAAAATGATTAAATTGTTGGGAAGTTGGGGACATCACCAAGGGTTATTGGTAATCACTAGCTGCGACAAAATCTACATTTTACAAACATTAACCATCTTAACTTTCCCAGCGCTTCCTTGCTGCTCCATCAATAATTTTTTTTTGCTGCCGCAAATATTCCGTATTACTTCTACATCGAGCTGTCAAGTTTTTACAGCACGCTGTTCAATGTATACCGCATAATTAATTAACAAAATTTAATGCACTCCAAATAAATTTCCACGCAGGGTTTAGCTTACAACGTTCGAAATTGAGTGTTTATGATGTACCTGAAAAGTGCATGCCATTCACGAAGTCAGTATAATGAACATGTTTTTCTAACTCGATAAAAATAGTTCATTCGACATTTTGACGTTACACTCCACCGAACTTTTAAGTGTTTTACACGGACACGAGTGCAAGTGCACAAACATTGCAAGTCACGTGCAAGTGCTGCAACTTCCCTCGTATCGCGTAAATTCCCTGCGAAGCGCCAAGTGACAAACTTTAAATCGCCGGGCGGACGGTTTAGCAAGGGATACCCTTTAATAGTTATAATCTTATAATATATTAATTCGAGTGCATCGTAAGTAGACGGTGCTGGAGGGGGGGGGGAGGTAATTAAAAGTTAATAATTAAATGCTTCTATGCAAGCACCGTTGACAAATTGCGAGATAAAATCGCAAAATCTCGGTTTTGCGTACAATCTCGAGTCTAATTCCGAGATATGGGTCGTCCATTTTCCAGCTCCTGAATAATTTACTTTAATTTACTTGCAAAATCTTGGGTACTTATGCTCGTTGGATCAAGATAACCCCATCATGCTCAAATTACGAAATAACACTTGCTCAATCAAAATACGAAACAACACTTGCTTAGTCAAATTACGAAATAACGCTTTTCTGATGCTCAAGATTGAGTGAGGGTTTCGAGTAATTTTATCGAGAGTTTTGGTGCCAGATTTCCGTTGTAGCCACGGTAAAACTACCGGGTGTGCGGTAAGGGAAAATTGCTGGTATTCATTCGGCTTTTTCGAGCATGCCACCGTGAAAGCGATTAAATGGGCTCAAATTTCCCAACGTAAAACATTCATTTTTGAAGGAAATTACAAATACTTTTCATTGAGATTTTCAGAACTAAACGTTAAATTTGATTGTGAGTACGTACCATTCTCTGCAAAATTCACGAAAGATACTTCTCAAGTTTTGCAGAAAATGCGTGCTACAATAGCTGAAATTTGGCAACATCTATTTGCCTATGCGGCATTGCTTCTCAGAGCGGCAATATTGATAACCATAGAAGCTGACAATTTCACAGATTTGAATCTCTTTTTCTCATCCGGTAAAAACCTACAGGCACACAAGTGTCCAAAAAAAGAGAAACTAATAAAGCTTGATTTAAGCAACCTTCAATGGGACATAATTTTGCGATGAGAAGCCATTATTTCTTACTCATTTCAGAAAAATCACAAATACCATTAGTTTCCCTATGCAGATAGGGGCTTCTATGGATGAGCCAGAAATAGTGATTCCTTACTGCAAAATGAAGTACAATGGATGAACAAATAATGGGTATCTAGACTTCCAAAACGACGAACAAAAAAGAGAAAGAAGAACAAAATCAATGAACACCTGTCTCAATCCTTTACAAGATGTATTTAATAACGATAATTACGAAAAGTTCGATATGATTTATTTAGAGAGACAAGACAACGCTGCATGCGCCTCCCCCGCTCTCACCTAAATCTGAATCGGCTAGTTCATAACTCGCATTAATCGCGAAACCCTCCTTTCGAAAGTTTACGAGTGGAGCTTTCGAGCTTTAAACTTCCGATGTTCGACTACACATGTCCAGCAAGCCAATTTCCATTCCTTTTTAGGGGATCTCCTTTCAGGGTGGATGTGGGTGAAAGGTTGGAGAGCNGGGGGGGGGGGGGGGGGGGGGGGGGAGGGGGCACGGCTCTCGAAGAGTTCATCCGCGCCGTTCCGTCCGTGCACTGGCTTCGCCTACGGTGCTAAAGTTGAACTTCACAAAGAAGAATAAGTCCTGGTCCGGCATTACGGACGGCCTTTTCAGTACAGCGTTGCCGATTAACAATAAATTGCAAAGTATGAAATCAAATGAATGATGCTCACTGCAGTGGCGTGGCGTGAATGATCGATTATCGATATATCGCCATTTGAAGCTATGGTAAAGAATCGATTATATCAGGGTGTTCGCTGCGAACACCCTGATAATCGATCTTTTTTCATAGGTTTGAGTGACGTATCAATCGATCTATCGCAAAGCACACCACGCCACTGGCTCAGTGGCATGTCGCACACTGGATCGAGTCAATAGGAGAGGTCAGACAAAATTTGGTAACTTTAAATGCTTATAACTCCGTTTATACAAAACTTGCAGGTTCTAAAAGTGGGCCCAGTGGTTTTTCGTGAAATTTCCTTCTGCAAGCACCGTTTGATACTTAAAATGTGACGGAATGAACGTAAAAGTTTGCAGTTTTAGTCAAAAATTTCATGTCCGACCTCTCCAATTGACTCGATCCACTGTGTACCGCAGGAATCAAGCGATTTCAGTACTTTTTCGTGTGGGAAAAATAACGCGAGAAACACGACAGTGGCTCTTTTTTTCTCTGAAATAAGCAATCGTTATAGTGAGAGACGAGTAATGAAACAAGAATAGGTCTTGCAAGATGAGGAACCATTCCGACTAAATTATAACTACAACAAGACTACGAAAAAGAATTTGTTCAACATTACCTTTTCACTTTTGCCTTGCGATCGGCATGATTCAAGAACAGGCGTTTTTCCATCTTTCCGATCATACGACACTTCACTTTTCTTTTTATTGAAGTCTCCTGGACTGAATCCACCGATCATCGGTTGCCTTGGTGCAGCCGCATGGCCGACACTCGTTTCCGTCGAGTTGGGCCCTCCGATCGGTGATTTCCGGCCAGATTTTACTTCCGGCGACCTTGGCGTGGATTTCACTTCCGGCGACCTTAAAACAGACTTCACTTCCGGTGACCTTAAGCCAGACTTCACTTCCGGCGACCTTAAGACAGATTTCACTTCCGGCGACCTTAAGACAGACTTCACTTCCGGTGACCTCAAGACAGACTTCACTTCCGGTGACCTCGGGACAGATTTTACTTCCGGTGACCTTGCGGGAGATTTTATTTCCGGCGACCTCGGCACGGACTTCACTTCGGACGACCTCCTCCTAACTTGTATTTCCGGTGACCTGAGGGCAGATTTCACTTCCGGCGACTTCCGGTACGACCTGATTTCCGGCGACTTCTGATTGGATTTGACCTGCGCCGGCGTCCGGTCCGATTTGGTTTCCGGCGAGTCGTTCCTAAGGCACTCATCGTTCTCGCCCGAGCAGAGCCGAGAAAACCCGAAGCTCCGACCGTGAACTTTGACCTCGCTGACCCCGAAGAGCTTCGCCGCCGCGAACCGCTTGGAGCTGCGGACGGGACTCGAACCCGTGACCTTTGACCCCTTTTCCTCCGCCTTCAAGTACGGCGGCGAGTCGTTCCCGCTGGAGGTCTTCAGGCAGAAGGCGCTTTTCTCGGCGCTTTCATTAGGCACTTTTTCTTCGAACGACCAGCTGAGCTGTTGCGCGGCAGTTTTGTTGTTGGCGTACAGGAGCGCCGAGTCCGATGAGTTGAGCTTCGAACCCCGCTCGGGTGTTGTTCCGTTGGTGAGGTGAACGCGGTGGTTCTGGTTGGATTTGTAGGTGAAGACGGTTGGCACGACTGTTTGCGTGAGTCTCGGTAGCCGGAGACTGTTGGTAAGCCTGGAATGCTTGAAGTTGAGGTGTTTGTTGTTCGGAGATCCATTTAGGTCGGGCTCGGTGGTGACCATGCTGTCGGCTACCATTCTGCCAGCCAAGCTTTCAGAGATCTGAAAAAAGAACAACAGGAGGGTAATGTCTCGCTTGCAGAGTTGTAACACTCGCCAGCGATCCATGGTGCTCGTATACAAACGTTCCGCGACCGATTTTCATTTCTGCGCTGAATTCCTCGAAAAATTCCACTTTTTTAAAATCCTAAAGGCAATATATGACCGCGAAGGCAGAGAACAAAACAAACAAGAGCTTAGACAACACCTACATCTTGATTGAAAAATTCATAATTCAGAAAATTCACCTAATTGGTGGTTCATACCTCGAGATACTATCATGGTGACTAATAACATTTCATTTTGGATTTCCCTGAGTTTTCCTGATATTTCATGTGAAATTTCCACTTCTTTAATTTTAAAACCAATACATTTAATAAATTGCATTAAAAGTTCACTTTTTCCAGCCATGAACTGAATGAGGATGAATATTTTTTGAGGCATTTGCATTTCCCTCACTTGGACCGATTTTCCTGACCTTTTCCTGATTTTTCCTGATGACATCGAATCAAATTTCATGATATTTTCTAGTTTCTTCGATTTTCATGGCGGTTGACACCCTGTACTTGGCTGGTGGACCACGCCCTGAACGATTCTATTAGTTCCTTCCAGTATTTTCGCTCCACGAACACTAAATTAAAAACCGGACTGCAAGTCGCGAAATAACTCTTTCTCGTAAAGCGAAAAGTCGCGGAAAATATTACACAACTTTCCCTGCATCTGCGCCGATCGGGCGTAAAATATTTGCTATCGCGAGGAAAATTAAAAACTTTACACATTACTCTGAAAGCCGGGGGAGCAATCAAAATATTTCTCAATATTCATTCACTCCACTTCCGGATCGCAAGTTCATAACTAAAAAAACCGAAAGTTGCGCACAATGAAAGCCCGAGCATTTTCCTTTCTCGTATATCATGAGCTGAGAGGAAAGTGACTCGGAGAACTGGAACACTAAACGTTCCACGTTGACTGCCCAACTAGTTGCAATTATTTTACCTGGGGCGGGATAATACTTCTAAAAGCTGACTTTTATTGTTTTCTTAGCTGAGGAGAGGGAGGAAAGAGGGAATTACGCCAGAAAGACATTTCGAGTGCCCGGCAGCCGTTTCAAAGGGGAAAGTAATAATAAAAATGACAATAGTAAAAGAGGAAAAAAACACGAAAGCGCATAACTTCCAAGTTCCGCCGCGCTCATTCCTCCGAACATTGCTGCCTCTTCGCACCTGATTTTCACGCATTGCACTGAACAAAAATTCTCGGCGTTTTTACCACGGTCCGTTGGTACCTTTACCATCTCACTTTTTTTACCAATTATTGGTAATTTTACTAAGACAGACACGTAAGCTTACCTAAAATCGGTATTTTTACTGTTTTTTTTTCAGGTAAGAATATCACTTTTATTGATAATCAATTCCCGGTAACTTTGCCATTTTATCTCGGTAATTCTACCACAGTCGATACAAAATATTGGCGTTTTTACCAAGGTCCAGTAAAATTACCGAGAAAGTCAATAAATTTACCGGGATTTCTCGGTAAAATTACCAATTCCATTGATGGTAATTTTACCAAGAAAAAACTGGGATCAAATAAAACCCTGAATTCTTGGTAATTTCACCCTTTTCTTAGTAAATACACCGAGATTTTTTTTCAGTGTGAAATAACTTGGACTTTTCAGCCATTTTTTCAATTTAAAATTTAAAAATCCAGCTGAGTGAAATGGGCGAAAGAGACAAGATCTGAGTGCGCTCTTAAGACGATGACGCAAAAATAAATGGAGAAAGTAATTAGAGAAAAAAATTAAAGGAGTAATGATAGAGCGAGAATGAAACGCGAGTGGTGAAAGGAAAAGACAGCCGAAACGTGAAAAACACTCCGGGAAAGCTCAACACATGTTTCATGGAAAATATTTCAGGCATTTCCGAGGAGTTCCCGCGGTAATAAGGGCACTTGGAAACTCATTGAGCTTAGCGGGACCAAATTACATACAAAAGAACAAGTCACGCTACAGAGACAAAACATGAGTTGTGGGAGTTAATTCGTCGCTCCTCTGACGTATCTCAATTTTCACAAGAACCCTGTCTCCCATATAACACTATGCTTTACGGGGCTCATGCTTAAATCGAGATACGCCCTTACGTCAAAGGAGTGACGAATTTTACGAACAGACTGAACGTATATTTTCAATTTCACAATTTGTTCAACCCCACACTCCGCACACTCGGTTCTTCACGTTTTTAGGGTAGGCTTTCTACGGTTGAGTCACATTCACTGACTCTTAGGTAATGCGCAATGCTGCTCTAGAAATCAATGAAATAATGCATCAATCACGGAATCGTTTCAGGAGGCCAATATTTCTATATATATTTGGCAAGGGGTTTCCCGGCTTAGTAGCCGGATTTACAATTGAGAATAAGTCTTGATAGAATAGAGGTTTTTCCCGCCGTCAGGGAAGTTGTTACCTTAAAAAATCCAGGATTTCCATTATCATTTCATTTTTTGATTTCCTTTCTCTCCCTGGCTTTTCCATGACTTTTTTGTTTTCCCCTGACTCCGAATTCCCTGACTTTCCCTGATTTTTGAAAAAAAGCTTCCACTTGGATTTTTTCCTTTTCATTATGCTAATTTTTACTGAACGCAGATTGCAAAGCCCCCTGACTTCTAATATTTATTTCCAGACCGCCTCTGATTTTTCCAGGTCATCGTAAATTCCCTGAAGTTCGAGGTATTCCCGACCGCCAATACTCTGAAAATCGTGCGTCAGAGAGGTTCAACAATTACTTAAAAAGGGCTAAAAATAAATACAATTCTAAAATTTTGCGATACCAGTGTCTTTACTGCGGAGATCGGTGCTAATAAAGAAACAAAGATCGGTTAAAACGATATTAGTGCCGATTAAAACGATGAGAGATTCGCAGACGGCAACCNGGGGGGGGGGGAAGAGAGAGCTGCTCGACTTTAATTAAAAAATCACTTTCTGTTCGAAAAGGCGAAAAAAAAGTCGGGACGAGAGATACTGCACGACGCGCGGCTCGGCGTCTGAGATGAGACAGTTACAGACAGCGGGGCGAAGCGAGTACAGGGGTAGCAGAGGGGGGCAAGTACCCGTATTCTTTCGCGCGACATCAAAGACAGAAGTGTCCAATTAATAAAACGCAAACGCTTCACCAAGTGAAACAGTCTCTCGACTCCACGGTGCAGCTCCTCTCTTGCCGAGTTTTCCGGATTTCCGGATACGTATTTCTCTTACTTGCCCCTGAAAACGCGTAATCCGATTGGAGGATTTAATTTTATTTAAAGGAAAACAAACTAAATTGGACGTATTAATGATAAAAGGAACTATGTCGCACACGATCCAAAATGTATTAACTGACTCAAAAGTAAAAATGAATTAAAATTTGATCGTTTAATAATTTAATTAATCAAGTATTAATACCATAAGTAGAGATAAGAATCTTTTACCTTTTGTATCAGGATTAATTAGAAATAAAAAATAAGTTTGAAATCTCGAAATTTATTGACACGTAGTTCCTTTTAGTAAAAATACGTCCAATTGGGTGTTAAAATTGTCAAAGAGCACTCTCTGACATGGAGAGAGTAAATTAGGAGGGCCATTCGACGATCGTGTCGGTGAGAATAAAAACACACCAACTTGAAAAAATGAAAATGTTCAAGAGGGAATGTAAAGGTCATTTGGATTATATTTTGCAATTGGGAACTACTTTTCTTGGTATTTTGTAGAAACAACATGTGTACTATTAATTTTCAATGCAGATAGGAACTTTTATGCCTGGGCCAGAGATGGGAGTATTCCTAAATGGAAAATTTGGTCCATTTATGATTTCTACCGAGCGCGAAGAGGTGATTTCAACGCTTCGTCAGTTCGCCTTCAATTTTTAGTGTAGGCAGTATGAATTCCCACATGGTCGAATAGTGGTATCGCCGTCAGATGAATCGTGATATGCGGTTTCGCCGACTTTTTCAGACCCTCCTATGCCCGAAATCTTCGGTTTCTTGGAATAACAGCTGTATTGTTCCTTACGAACCGAAGTATTTTTCTCTGCGTAAAGAGTGAAGTACAGGCCTCTGTTCTCAGCGCGGGAAAAAATTGAAATACGAAATCGATAGCTTGGAAATTTAATCATTATTTCGTTTTAAACCGGCAGCCGACGGAGCAAAAGAAAAAAATTGGCCTCCGGCCAATTTATGCGCGGCGCTTCGCGCCGCGTACCGGCGCTACGCGCCGGCATTTGGGGGGCTTCGCCCCCCCATCCGCTTAGCGGATTGGTGCGGGGACCGCACGGGACTTTCTCGCTCGAGCCGGCGCTTCGCGCCGGCATAGACACTTTTACTGGAATATTTAGAAAAATACTGCCAATTTTACAAAATCATAAAGTTTGATTGGAATTTTGATCACAGGATAATAGTTATGAAATTTTTATTCAAACCATTGAACTTCATTGTAAATGTCTTCGCGATATGTGGTGAATTCATATATTCGGACTCGACTTGTTGATTTTATGAGGCATCTTCAATTAAATATGTAATTGATTAACTAAGTCTCCTGTCAAAGATGGCGATCCGTAAAAATCTTAGCTTTTCTACGATTCATTAGGATCCATTAGATTCATTGACATCATACTTCAGATACGATTTTATATTATAATCTCTCCTTAAGCACGGTCAAAAGCCATCAAATATCTACTTGAATGGGTAGAATGACTATTCGATGTTCAAATAGTCTTAAAACTAAACGGTTTTCGCTTAGCATCTCCCAAATTTTAAATTTGGCGGGCGAATCTACCTGCTGGAAGGTTCACGACACGCCCGCCAGGAGCGCCATCTCCTTACCGCGTATCCCCGTAACTCAAAGCGAAAACAATAGAGAGCGCCATCGACAAACGTCAACGAGAGACAAGTCAACAAACGTCACGTTATAACAATTATAACCTCCTTCATTAACAAGCATTAAATCAGTCATATTTGTGCCGAATTATTACATTATA